GAAGTATACTGCATCAAATTTCACATCAAAAAGACAAAAAAAAGAAAACTCTTTTATAGAATTAGTTATTTGCATATTTCAGAAAATGTCGTACAAAATTTTATAAGACAAAATGTACCGAAAATGAATAATGATTAGAAGAAATGCCAAACAAGTCATTTTGACCTCCCTTGGTAGATCTAGTGTTAACGAGGAACGGCTGTGGCAAACCTAGAAACGAGATTCAGAAGAAAACGGGGAGGACGTCACGTCAGAGATTACTGTTCCACCTACGACCTCCCAGCTGTTAAAACATTAAGAGTATAAGCAGCTGCCGAACTATCTTTCATGGTTCATCTACGCGTGCTAGTACCGACTATGTTTTATTTTCAGTTTTTATTTGCCTGTTCACTAACCGCGGTGACAATTTACGAGCCCCTTTTCATTAATGAAACCCCTTTCTGTGCACGTGTCCTGCGCGAGGCTTCTTCGAACAGTGTTCTGAATTGGGCAAGGATTTCAACACTTCAGAGGTCATCACAGAGATATTGTAGACAAGAATAAAATAGAAAAACGAAGAGAGTACACACACAGCAATGCGTTCTATATGATTGTTGGTTTGATATTAACGTTTTTAGATGTAATAGAAAAATCGTACGACTAATATTCATTAAACTATTGGGGTGATCGTAGCCAGTTTGCTCGAGGGAGAATTTGAACTCGGGAAATATAGATAGAGTGCGTGACATTTGTTACCATGTATTTACATGCCGAATTCAGTAGCGCGTGATTCCTACTTCGCCGCATTGCCAATCACCGGCAGTGTTCGAGTTATATAAGATGCTCGCTGTCCAATTTCAACCTGCATAATGTCCAGGAAAAGTATTTATATAATATATTACAAGCCACCCACCCAATTAAACCTGCCTTAGCACTTAAAGAAGCTTTCGTTTTGTCACGAGAAGGTGGTTTGAGTAGACGAAAAACGGGTCTTAATTAAAATAGACTTCGCCACGGTGTATAAATATTTTTTGCACCGAGGAATTTATTGTGTAGCATGATTCTGCTGACCGGAATAAAAGTCGGGGTGGCTCTGTCGACTTTTTGTGACCGGGGTTCGGACGAACAAATTGATAAATTAGGGAATCGGGGGAATTGGAAGGCGGTTCCTCCGGTGGAAGGTGATTAACTTGTTTCGGAGTAATCGTATTTATCGTTCGCGTGGGCGTTCACCGAATACGATTGCCCGTTTGGTTCCAGTGTTTGAATTATAGTTATAGCCCGGTTCAACATCCTTTTAATCACGTTACTCAAAAATAATCGCGCAGAACTTAGGCTAGGCCGTGCTCGATCCCGGACGATGGCTCGTCAAATTAAGATGACTAGATTTCAAATGTCTCACTTAGCAATCGGTAGAGGATTAATTAATCTCGAATGGAATCCGGACTTGCTATCTCGCATGGGTGTATCTGACAACCGAACGTTTCAAGGCAGAGAATAACTCGAACGTCATAACCACTTTCAGATACGTATTCTTCGTGCGCGCGTTATCACGCGTATCGAAACGTTCACGATACCTAAAAATTCGTCGAAGGACGACATCGTGATCGCCCACCAATGAACGGAATTCAATTCTCGAGATCCTACGATTCCCGAGTCTCCGCATCGATTTTACTTTCGATATCACGTTACGTGGGTGTTTCTTTTCCATATTCACTCGCGAGACTAGCCGATCCGGCCGGAAATCGGCCAGTTTCAGGATCTCTCCTCAAAAGAGATCGCCACAGATCGGTAACGAGGAGATCCTATTTCCGTGGCTGTTGCGCAGCCTCTATATTACTCGCGCAATTACGAGCGCGTGCAGACGATGAATAAATTCAAAATATTACGCGCGCCCTTATCTCGCAGATACACGTACCCATACGTACGTTCGAAATCGGTGAACGCTTTTATCCGCGAGTTCAAATTGTATGGCGGATGTGCACGGTACAAATCGCTGTGGCCAGAGGCACGATAATGCGAATATAATGACGATGTTGCCACGGGTAAACAGTCTGCCCAGTTGGTTCCGATCGTTTTCTACATACGTACACGCGCTCGTTCGTCGTCTACGCTGAACGTGTACCTGAGAGAGTACAGAGTTCAACGTTTCCGGATACGCGTGGAATGGATCCTTTGTTCCATTTATTCGACAAATGGAATCGCAATTTCCATAGGTATCTAACGTCGCTCATAGATTTCATTAGAGAGTATTCAATCCTTCGAAGAGATCATTTATTAGTCATTATAGGAAATATCTTTATGCTGCCCGTAATTTTATAACAATTATACTATATTTTAGGAGCTCAACTATGATGAATCGTAAAGCCATTTTAATTGTCAATAAATATTTATAATTTAGAGATGAGATTTGAAATTAGAACGTGTCAGCTCGCTATCAGTCTCGTCTCGATCATCGATTATTCGATTGATTTAATCACTGATAAGCTCCATTCTGTGAGCCTTGATAAGCGAGCTGAAGTCGGTTAATCGTGGGATTTGCTGGAAATTAATGCGACGTCTAACTGTGGAAGGTGTAACCGCGAAAATTCGCTTGAGTAGTTAACTCCTCAATATATATCGGTTCAGATTTATCCGAATCCTCGTTTATCGCTCCTCCTTTTGTCGACGGAAACGTTCCGATTTACTTCGTACCGACGATCACTTCGGCAATTAGCAGATGCTGTTCGCTGTTACAAAATGTTTATTTCAAGTTGGTGTCGAAGTCAATCAAGCTCTTCTTGCTCCTTCCTGTTTCTGAGTCCGATGCGGAATGTACGTGATTACATGTCTTTTTTATTAACAGTACACGCGGGTTAAATTGGATTTAACGGTTTCTTACTGCTCGGTTTCTATGAAATTCCTCGTAATTGCCCGTTGGATTCGAATGAAATCATTGGTTTATTCCACAGAACTAAATCAAGCTAAGCTGCACTTTTCTCGTCCTTTTTCTTCGGAAACGGCCTAGTATGGAATTCGAGCGGTACGCTTGCTCACGCATTTTCTCGCGATTTCTCATTACACGGGTGATAACCTGGGATACAGGTTCCAGTGCACAGCGTCGACTCCTAGCAGTTACTTGAACGATATCCGGTTTTTCGTCTTATTGATGATCGATCATACGAATTCGTGTTACGTAACCAGGTCCGGTTCACTGGTTTCCCGATTTGCTTTTGATCGAAAGCGATTGACCCATTACAATTTCATTTTGGAGAAGGGACGTGATATCATGCATGCGATCGGTTTATATGTATATTCTTAATTGGGAACCACGGAGTTTGTTGAGACAGTTATTCCATTAAGTGCGCACTTAAGTCCTTAAATGGAGCTTATGGTAAAAAGTAGGTCACTACTCGACGTGAGGCATCCTGTACATGAATCATTCTTGCTTTGTTTTAAAATAAACTTTGCTTTTACGAGAGCGATATGGCTGACTTAACAGTGGCACCAATGAATCTAGGAAATCCATGCATCGTAAAGAATTTACTATGATGTATTTATCGTTCGATGGGTGGAGATTAGACGGGAGGAATGTTGAAAAGAAAGGATTATAAATTCTTAACGCTGGTACTAATGTAGTTCGGTCATAAATACACGTGTCTCTCCTCGTTCGCTCCTTCGCGGTAGGAATGTTGCTCGAGTAATTACGAGGAAGTAATCAACGCTGGTTGGCAGGATTAAGCGAAAGTGCGAGCCACGCGCCGAGCCGAGCCGCACAAAATTTCAATCTTTCTCCAGCGAAATGTACATGCATACAGCGGACCGTTGTTGGTTTAAGAAATTATTGCGAGAGTCAGGAGAAATTTACGTGTACAACGGAGATTGAACTGCTGACTTCCGGTCGGTGAAACACGTATAGAAATTGCTAAAGAAAATTAGTTCTGAGTCATAATTCTCGTGATGCGAAATACATATTCGTATACGACTTCCGACACGTCCTTTCGACGTTTAATCGATTAAAATATCGAGTGTTACGCTTCCATGATACTGTAACTCTATAATATGAGAAAGCGAAATTTCGGGTGTGACATTTCATCTCAACGGGATGTTTCGTCCTGTTTCAGACGATGAGGCTGACCAAACGTATAGACGAGGTCAGGTTGCTCGAGTCACGTAAGAGCGCCCGGCTGGCCGATCAGGATACAGATTTCGCCAGACTCGCCGATATGGCTGGTGATCGCAAACGGGCTTCATCTCACTCCATCGACGTGCCACACGTGATTGGGTAAGTCTCTAAATCACTTTAATTAATATCGCTTCCACATTTCTCAACATAATCCCTCAATTTCTTTCCTCGTGTTAAAAGAATTATGCTTGGTAACATAAAACCGACCATTAATAGGTCTTATTGCCCTCAAGAATCCCGAAGTCCCGAAGCTCCCCTGAACCCTGCATGCAGTTATCAGTCCCATAAAACTCTAGTGGAATTCAGAATTAACGCGCGCCACCTGAATAGTAAGTTGAACTTAATTCCTACGAATTCGTTTCCTCGAAAAGAAATCAAGCTCCCGTTGAAAATCTGATCTAAAAACCACGCAATAGGATATTCATGAAAATCAATGTACTTAAAAAAAAATTTATTTTTAAATCCAACCGAGAGACTCTGCCACGCACTTAAGGGGTCGTAAAAGTGAAATATGGTTGCCGTCGTAACCGACCGCGATTTTGGTCTCCCTTCGAAAACTCTCCTCGGTCCCTTCTATGCTAGATTTAGCGCGACAAGTGTGAGCCTACGGCCTACGCGCACGGACACGTGTGTGCTCGCTCTGCGTACTATCGACAAGTTTCGTCGTATGATTTTTGAGGCGAGATAGACGTTGGCGAAACACCTCGTACGAGAATATTTGCGGTATACCTCAGAATTTGAAGTAAAATATGATTTACGATCGTATAAATCATTGTGAATTTTGAAACTCAGAATTAGTAATTAGTAGACTGCGGATTTTTATACAAAATAAAATGTTCATGATATCAGTTATGAAAATGCATTCTAGATAGACATTTCTCTCATCATGTAAACATTGAAATATGCATGTATATTTTAATATCTTATATATTTTTGGACATTGCAAACGACACGCTTTTTTTATAAGTAAAATCCGCTGTCTAATTATTTAATTTGTACAAAATTAACTCTAGTTCGTTTTTAATTGTTGGAAGTTCACTCTTAATATTCGTTCATTCAAGATTTTTTGTATAATCTCGTATTATTGAGCAAGGGCGAATCGTTAGTACCCCCTTAAGACCGGCCCGGCTTTAAGATGGTTCGTATTCAAATACGAACGTACACCCATTCGGCGTTTGTATGCGTGCGTCTCGTGGCTAAAAAATCGAAGCGTATTTCGGTGTATGGTTCGAAAAAGCGCACCCGCACGTTGCATCCAGGGGGAATGCTAAAAGGCGTCTGGTTGCCGACCGTTAGACCGTGAACGCACCCTCGGCTGGCCGCGCCGGACACCTGTCCCTCGGCCAGCCATCCGAAGAGAGCGCTTTCGTTCTCTCACCCTCATCGAAACGTCCTGGAATCCGACCCAACCATCGCGATTCCGACGACGGGGACGCGTTTCGTGGGACCCTCGGCCGCGGAATTTCTACAGACCCCCGGGTTCAGAGAGCTTTGACCTTTCAAAGGGGCGTGGACTTCGTCTAGCAGGGTGCACCTGAAATCCTGTAGTCTGCATTTACACCATTCTCTTGAAGATATCGTTGGCGAATTGATTTTTAGAGGTTTCATAAATTTCTCAATTATTTTATTTCTGTTTCTGAAGATGAAATGAATTAACAATTTGCATCAGCAAAGATACGTGACTTTAAATTGTGTGAGAAAATTGTATAAAAATAATTGCTGCCCTACATTTTGAATCAGTTTATCGTCCGTTACACTGGCTTAGCCTGCGGATTAAAAGTAGTTTATATTTACCAAAGCAAAATTATACGCGCTAACTACTGTGAGTCATCGTCGACCCCAAATTCGACAGTTTATACTGTCGTAAAAATGAAAGTAAAATAGATATACGGCATCATTAAAAAACCTGTGGGGAATAAGATTGTTTTTCGAGAAAATTACGCTTGTTCAGTAATAGTTTCGTAGCTTTTGGACGAGCATAGATTCCACCCCACGCATAAGTAGGTAGTCGAAATTCTGTAGGTCGGTGTCACGGGATGGCAATGAATTTTATGATTTAGGGTCGGGAAGGGTCTCTCCTACTCTCTTAGAAATGACGAGTCACGCGGCAATGTTACAAGCGGTAATTTCATTTTTACGGTGTGTCACGACCGCCGTGGGACAACTTTGTTCCTCGGGTCCTGTTCGACATTTCATGAAGCAACGGTGTCCACTGTGCACAGCTTTTAAAGGCTGAATGTTAAACGATAAATCGATTTTTTCGTCGTGAATCTTGATGATGCGAGTTCGAGGGGGAGGAGGTCGACTTGTTTGCAGTGTAAGCGAGCCGAATGATGCAATCGTCGCTGGGACTCTTCTCGTGACGAAATACAGGCCTGAGTCGATGGAAAGAGCTGAAACAGATGGCTGGGAAACGTACATTAGTACAGTAAAATGAATATGGAAATCCGAAAGCGAAGTATCAATTAAAAATATCCAAATTGCTAAGAAGGAAGGCTCGATTATGAAATTTTTATAGCGCCATTAGCAATTGAGAAATACGATTGACGGGATCGGAATTTTTACCGGGACGATTGTCAATCCTGGAATGGCTATTACGACAGCATATTAAAATTCTCTTGTACTATGTTATACGACAAAAACCATGAAAGTAGGATGCGAAGAACCACTCGGCTCCGTGGCTCGCCTTATTTCGTTAAGAGGCACCGAAACCCGCGTTTCCACCCACCTGCGTCTGGAGATCCACATCTTTTCGACTAGAAGTCTCTCCTACTCCTTCCCCTCTCGTCCTCTCCCTTTCCCTTCCGCGCCGCCATAATCGTCTCCCTTCGAAGAGAAGGGTGGAACGGCTGTTCACGATGCCAACGACCCTGTCGACTCTTCCTTTTTTCTTCGTCTTCTTCTTCTTTCTCCTCTTCCTTTTTTTTTATTCCCTCCTCTGGACGAAGTCGTGCACGACCGAGGCCTCGAAGATCCTCCTCACAAAGGACGACTCCGTGGAAAGGAACGGCGGGGACGAGACGGGGAAGAAGGGAGGTGCAACGTCCGGTGGTTCGGGGCGAAGCCACGCAGGTAGACGGCCTGCGTCGCGTCGGTGTTTTTGGGCCGTGGCTCGGCTCGACTCGGTTGCACCTGGCCGTGGCACGACCTGCCCCACGTGAAAGGAAAGGTCACCACACAGCCAGAAGAGAAATCGAATGCCTTTCGAATCCCGATGGTGTATCGATGACGAAAGCGCGTGTACCACCGGGTATACCCCCCGTGCCTCCTCGTGCCCGCGCGAGACCTTGCACCGCGGCCAAGGATCCCGCGCGAAATTCATCACCGGTGACTGGCCTCTCGAGGCTGAACCTCGATGATACCCCTCGGCCTCTGTTTCTGCTCGCTTTTGTTGCGGTTTTGTTTCACCGTTTGCGGCCGTACCTTGCGTCGGGATGGGTTTCGATTTCGATGAACTCACGGTTCCGTCGCAGACGCCAACAGATACGACGCTTGACAATTTCGTGGAATTCAATCGGTCGCAGTGATATCAATCAGCTATCGAAACGTTTTGATTAAAATTGATCCGTAAATTTGTAGCTAATATGAATTGAAATTGATGGGGCGGCAACACAAGCTGAGCCGACGCTGGTTTTGCTTTATTGCGCGACTATAGGGGGTATCGGTTTCGATTTCGCTGAACTCGCGCGTTTCGTATGAAAGGGTCTTTCAAAAGGTTTCACAGTGGTAGGTAATTTCAACGTATTTATGGGGTTCTTCGTTCAGGCATTTTTAGTGTTCATTAGATATTCATAGAGAGATCATCCAACAGTCTTTCGTTTTATTAAAAATTCTTCCTCCTCGAGACTGTAAATTTAAAATCTATTTACGGGAGAATCTAGTTATTACATTAAAATCTATTTAACATTCCGCACGCTATCGATACATTGAAAAAAAAATGTGATATCGAGTAGCCGAAGAGTATCTCCGGATTTCATTGAACCCTCCGATAAAGCCGAGCCACCCTTCTTTCAAATATAACGTGATCCTCGAAAATGCCTTCCAGTCGGCTAGTTCCTAATACTAACGAGAGGAGCAACTTTATGATGTATGGTCGGTCTCCCATCGGTAAAAATTCGTATTACTTCTATAACGCAGCCTGGTCGTGAGAAAAAAGAAGCGAATGACCTGACTGACTCGTCGCAAGCCCCTTGCCTCGCTACAATCCTGTTTCACCGAAACGAACGAATCGCGTTTCGTTCCTTCGGCTTGGCCTTTTACGCGAAAACGAACACGCGATGCATCTCTGCGACTGCAATTGCAACTCGCCGTGAATTATGCAACATTATACTCTTTTCGCGTAACGAGAGGCGTATGATCTTCGTGTAATCGTAACTCCTCATTACAGTTGCTTTAACACGTCCCTCCTGTCACGACCATTGCAATTTCGACCTGAGTTCTTGGAAGTTTCGATCTCGATTTCTTGCTACGAGAAAAAGATCGGTAGAACCGAGTTTATTCACGGGTGGCTGTTCGGTCGTAAGGTTCAAAATAAGGGAATAATTATAACAATTTGGAAATACGATTCGACATTCCGAATTTAAGGAGTGGAGTATAGATATAACTGAGTGAGTAATATTTTTATTGCGCCTGCTCGTGTAGCTCGCTGGACTGGCTGAGGTATTGGATGCTACGGGTAAGCTGATCATCTAATTATACCGAGCGGTGTATCTATTTTCTTTGCACCCACGTGGCAGAATTTATAGCTACTGACAATGAAAACTACTGAACTCCGTGCCAACCTTTTTAAGCCTGGAGTCCTGATTTATTGAAAATACACGTGCATTATTCTCGGACGTATTCTTTAATCGTGCAACATCTTTCGATATGTGAATGGTATTTTAAAAGTCGAATTTAAATAGAATTCGCGGTCGATTCGCTTTGAGATTCGCGCAGTCACTCCTCTCAAAGGTTTACCGATAACAGCGTGGAAGGCGTGATAGAAGTAAAGGGAGGGTTACACGGGTAATCGGAAACGCAGACGTAACAACAGAAAGTTCCTGCTGCGGCAACCGGTGCAGTGAGTCAGTAGGTTAGGTTACGTAATTTCGGGCCGGCAA